TACCATGCATAACCACATACTGCACATACTGGGCCACGCCCCCTATCTTGGGCCTCGCCCCCTACCTCGGGCCTCGCCCGCTACAACGGCCCCGCCGCTCCAGGCCCCGCCTGGCTTCGAGCCCCGCTCGGATACAGATCTGTTTTACTTAGGCCTCGCCTGTCACAGGGCCTCGCCCGTCAACAAATAATAACACATAAACATTTCACAACACATAACTGACACATGCAACTAGTTCTGTCCTAAGGCCTCGCCTATCCTGGGCCTCGCCCATGTCCTGCTACTGATGAGTCATGGAACCCCGTCCATGCTCCTAATGGTAGTGAGGTACGGGCCTAGCCCACTCTCACTCCTGTTCTAGTTCGGGCCTCGCCCCTAATCTGCTACTAGTGAGATATGGAACCCCATCCACACTCTGCTATTGGTGAGATACGGGACCTCGCCCACACTCACCTCCCTACCAGGCACATACATGTATCACACAGACAACAAGTATAAACTATCATATATAAACAATTCCTTGGGCACCCGCCCGCTATTACTGGACCTCGTCCTGCAACAATACTAGCATACTGTGCCCAGGGCTAACCCCCGGGTCTTCTACTCATAACTACATGGGCCGGCATTGTGGCCTTAGACCCATTCACACAAAGGGAAACTCACCTGCACTGGCTGAACTTGCTGATGATCTCACTAGCTGCTGCCTGACAACTCACGGAACTCCTGCTCTCCTTGCTCCTCGAACTACCAATATCAATGCAACACTGAGTCTAACTGACCCCCGAAAGACAACAAGTCCACCCTGGTCCAAAGTCAAAGTCCTGGTCAAAGTCAACCTTCCAGGTCAACCCTACTCGCCGAGTCACCCTACTGACTCGCCGAGTTCAAAATGATCAGATTCCTTTCATTCGCGACTCGACTAGCCGAGTCAGTCCATGACTCGCCGAGTCTACCGATTTCTAAGTCCAGACCTGTTCAACTCACTGAGTCTCCACCCGACTCACTGATTCGAGTCACAACTCGAAGGGTTTGGGGTTTCGCCACCTGACTCGCCGAGTCCAAGGCAATCTTCATACGACTCGACGAATTGTTCATCCCACTCGTCGAGTTTCTCCACAACTTCATGCTACTCGCCGAGTCCACTCAAAGGACTCGCCAAGTCCCTTCAGTTCTCCTTACATGCAGAGGATTTTTGAGTCATGCATGGACTCCAAACTATAGATCCACCCTTCCCAAGCCTATTCCACACGTAAAGTTGCAAACTTTACGTGTAGAGAAGGAGATCTAGGCAAAATATGCCATAAACTAGGGTGTAAGGCCAAAGGGCTTCAAAATCAACTTAATGGATGATACTTTATGCTTCTCCAGGCCCTAACACACTTGGATCTGAAGTAGCAACTCCAGATCCGGCTTCTAACCCAAAAGAATAACATTATGGCAAAAGAGCCCCAACAATCACACATAGATCTAGGTGCAAAAAGGGGGTCCAGGAACTATTTTATTACCTCCAAGTGCTCAGAATGAACTCACAATCCCAGATCTATAGCTCCTTCTTTCTCCTCCAAGTTCCTTCTTCCTTTTCCAAGCTTAATGCACCTTCCAAGGCTCAACTAGGAGATGTGACGGCTAGGGTTTGATATCCAGGGCTAAAGAGGCAGTAAGGAACCCTAGGAAGAAGATTAAGACATTTATATAGGCTCCAAGTCCCGAAATTAGGGTTTTTCCACGCACAGACCAGACTCGCCGAGTCACCTTGACCGACTCGCCGAGTCGGTCGCTTACACCTCGACCCGGATCTCGCTCGGACTCGCCGAGTCCCTCCTTGGACTCGCTGAGTCGGCCCTTAAATTAGGGCTTTTCTTTCCTTTCTTGGCCTTTGAAACTTTGGGTGTTACATTCTCCCTAATGAGCCTATGTCAAAAAGTGACGTTTGATGGATCGAATTTCAACGAATGGATGAGATACATTCGCATCATTGCTCGTTACGAGGATAAAGAATATGTCCTCGAAAAGAAGCTTGAAAAGATCAATCTAGAAGTCGCTACTCCCGAAGAAATGGCCGTCTTTGAGGCCCACGAGCGTGATGCAACGAAATTTCATTGCATTATGCTGGCCACTATGAATCTTGAACTCCAGAAGTCCTATGAGGACATGCATCCATACGAAATGCACCAAGATTTGCTGGAGATGTACCACCAAAGCGCAAGGCAAGAGCGCTATGAGATCATCACCAACATGATCACCGCTAAGATGGGGAGTGGAGAGTCCCTAACCTCGCATTTGCAAGAGGAAAGAAAATAAAAGGAAAAAAAAATGTGTCCCTGAATTTGAAAGAAGTGAAAAAAAAATTAACGTTTTGTTTTGTTTTTTTTTTTTCTCAAAATCCTTCCAATTTCAAGGAAAATTGAAAGCAAGAGTGATCTCTCTAATTATTTCCTTTAATGAAACGTAGTAGCACAGATTAAGTTGAACTCAATAAGGTGTAAGAGATGGGGAAAAGAAAATTTATGATGAGTTGAGTTGGAGATATGATACGAGTATTCATATCATGCATGATGCATTGCATATTTTAATGCACTTGTATTTAATTGATTTGAGTTAAGTTTTATTATATTAATGTTGAGTTTAAAAGGCAACATTATTTCGAAAAGAGTTTTGAGATGTAAAAGGGCTGATTTTTTATACCTTTAAATTTGTGCTTGTTAATATATTAGTTACGAGCATAACGTATGGATGAATATTTGGACCAAATACCCGAACAAGAATAGGATCCGAACTGAATTGAACTAGGACCGAATAAACTATTCAGTTCGGTTCTCGGTTATCTATGTATTCATTTGATAGGAGGTATTGTTTTTGCATGCATAACGTATTATTGAGAGATATAACCTATTGTTTTGAAATGTATTCATTTGATAGGAAGTAGAATAGTACATATTGAGAGATATGTGTAGTTACATGAAGATTGAGAAGAATATGTGGGCATGAAATAACATCGACATTATTATTATCGTGAATGTTTTTGTTATCCCTCGTATACTTCTCAACAATTTGTTTTGTTTTAAAAAGTTTGGTAAATATTCCTGTACAGATGAAAGATTTATAAAATCTTAATTTTTTAATAATATGATATTTCAAACTAGTCCATTTTTCTATGTATTTAAGTTATGTTGTATTCAATTATATCTTATTTGTTGAAAATATCTTGCTTTAGTGATGTATTGCCTAACAACAAAGAAAAAGATTCTTTATATTATAAATTTATTAAAAACGGACCCCATGATTGTAAATAAAATGTTATTAACTGAGACTCTAAATCATACACGCAATGGCCTGGACCAGTAATTCTGGTGGCTTTGTTTAGTAGTTGGTGGGATTATTCATTAATGATCTATTACTGTTCTCATAGAGTGTGACATGATTTGGTAATCCAAGAGATCTTGATTTAATTAGGATGTTAACATTTTGGTTTGACTGGTAAATTGTTTGCAAATATGATAATTTTAGGTTGACATATGAACAGTGGATGTTGCTAAAAAAAAACAATGAAGGGAAATGTGTGTAGTTGTGGATAGTTAGGGGTTGCAACTGTGTTGTATTTGGGTTGGCGGATCATAGGTTGGCGTTTTGACGATGTATAAAAGTTCGATCCTGATCCAACTCATATGTATATTTTTGTTGTCTTATTCAACATGAATTTGAATTAGTCATAAATAGGCCAACCCTCATTACCCATTTAATTATACAAAATTTGCGACTTCATGAGTTAAAGAGACAAGTTTGTGAGTCATGAAAAAAGTTTAAATATTACATATTTACTTATTAGTTATTATTTTTTCCTTTACTTATTTTATATATATATATATATATTAAAAATTTTTAATCAAATAAATTAAATGAGTTTACGGGTCAACCAGCTAAATTATTTGCATACCCAAACATGACCAATATAAAAAACAGGTTGGTGGGTCAGAAAAGTTTAACCAAACTTATTTATCTTCGTTTCATGGCGCGGGTAGTTTCAGTTGTCGAAAGTTGTGGCTCTCGTGTGAATTGGCACACACATGTAGTTCATTTAAGATTATCTTTTACAAACCAAACCAAGTAAAATGAATCCGTTATCTTTTAAATAATATAAAAACAATAAACTCTAACCATTAATCATTCTTTTATAAAACACTTTAAAAACCCAAAAAATTACATGTGATTTAGAACCTAAATCCTTCCATATACTGAATCCTTCAAACAAATACTTGAAAATCTGAATGGCCGATTTTGATAGTAAACGTAAAATTACCAGTCGAATTACTTTGGATTGTTCGATTTTGACCGGCACACCTCAATATTTAACCCTCCCTATTTTACCTTTTTTTTTTTTTAATAATTTCCATTGACTTGTGGAAACTGCATCTGCATGCATGTGGGAGCAGCCTTTCATAATTCATATTTGTACAAAATAGATGTGATTGGTTTGATGCAGGCTATTTTGGGTCGGAGCTATTCGGACAATTCTCTTTGTAGTTATTTGACACTTGGGATTTTCATCATTGATTCCTTTTCCTATCACAATCATTTTTTATTTTATTTTTTCAAAATATCAATCGTGCACTAGTGTTACTTAAATGGGACTCATCAGTAAAAGAAGAAAAATTATAGGGAATGTTAGCGTAAATAATAATAATAATAATAATAATAATAATAATAATAATAAAAGTCTTGGTGAACATTATTTAGCTGTGATGGGTGGGTATTGTTTTTATTTTCCTTTTTTCTTTTATTTGTATATTTTCGATCACTTTTATATTTTTTGTTTTTCTCCGATACTGTTCATTTTGTATATTGTTCGTCTTCTCCTTTACCACCGCTACTTTCATGGGTTTGATCCTTCCACGTAACCATCTGTTGCCTCAAATCTCTCGCCTCCCACCTTCCCATATTTCACATTCCATCTTCAGTCTTCTCTCATATGCATCTTCCAACGATTTCTCTTATTTCAATTGATGGAATCCTCCCTAGCTCTACAGGGGAACACCACCGTACTTCATATCTGTTTCTTTTGCTTCCTGTCTATTTCCCACGCTTGATAGCTTTAATCAAATTTTCCACCTTCACCGTCAATGATTAGTTCGATTTCTTCTGCGATGATCAGTTGCCTTCCGCCTGCCGACGCCCTTCCTGTAGGGTCTCATCCACCTTGGATTGCTTCCATCTTCCATCATCCACTTTCCCTGTAATCACTTCCAGTTTTCACAGGTTTAGTGAATGTTATGTTCCTTCTAGATTTCATCAGGTGTATATCATGTTTAATTTTTGTGTTATGGCTTCTAAAAACTACTATCATGTTTTATTTAGGTGTTACCGCCTCCAAAAACTACCTATTTAATTCTATTTTGCCTCTTCATGGATAGTTCTTTAGTTGAGCACCCCAGGTGTTCGATGAAATTTCTAACTCAATCAATATTATAAATAAAGTATTTTTTTGTTCAACTATTAAATCAAACCTCCGTCATACCCAACAATCTAAATTAGTATGTTGTTTGTAGTTTGTATTTGACCTTCAATATATAATTTCTGTAGGGATTGTTTTTTTTTTGTGTTGATGCTTTGCAATCATCGTGAAAGAGGGTTGACTTCTTCCGTACCAGCACCCAATTGTTCACTCAGTCTTCAACATGGGCATAATTTTTTAGGTAATTGTTGGTTTTGTTGCTCATCTACTTATTTCATGCCTTTTTTTGTTGTTTCATTGGTAGTAATAACCACTTGCACATAATTAATCAGCTTGGTTTACGCCCAATGGAGGTTGGGACCCTGGCCACGCTCTGCATGTAAACACAATTAATACTCTTATAAAAATGTTTTTTTTTTTTTAATTTCTGTTTATATGCTTTGTTTTATATATATAATATATATATATATATATATATATATATATATATATATATATATATATATATATATATATATATATATATATATATATATATATATATATATATATACACACACGTATGAATCAGGCAATCGAAAGGACTTAGGGTCAAGAAAATGTGTTCTAAACCTTAGGCCCTTAGCAATGAACTGATGGTTAAATGCAAAAATATAACATATTTATTGAATTAAGAAACATGAAAAACTGGATATGAAGTATGTTATGCTTCTGCTATAATCCACTAATGCAATTAAAGCTACAAGCAGAAAAGAAAATTAAGATAGGCTATTAAAAGAAATTATCGGTGTTGATGCTGCTTTCTTCACATTTTCATCACCATGTTCATTAACATGCTTAAGGGCTGAAGGCATGACCTTCCAAAGTTCACTCATAAACTCACTGCCCTAAAAGATAACTATTTGATTCAACATGTGGATATTATAACCAAAAATCAAAAGTATAACAGGTAAGCAAACAATTTTTATTATCAACTTTTTGGATGCTTTTTAATATAATAAATTTTGTTTTGGTGAATTTATTTTTAGAGTTGTAAAAATGTTAGACGACATCATGGATGCTCTAATTTTTACAGACACATAAGAATGTATTTCATGAACTTGGAACTGTTACAAGTTGAGATACCAAGGGGGACTTCAAATATTTTGGATTTGTTACTTTCTACAATGCTGGTAAAGTAGTGAATGGTCAGAAATTTGATAATGAAGAATGTTATGTAAATGACAAGTATGATTCTGATTTCATCTTCCTCACTTGAAACTGGATCAAACAATATTGTTTCACTTGTAGAAATAGAGAAATAAGACAAATGAAGAAGTATATGAAAGATGGGAACAAGTTTGCATTTCTTAGCCACGATCTCCATGATCTTGGGTAGTCAAAACAGATGGAAGTGCCAACTGTCACTTTTGTAATGCCCTTGAAAGGCTTTAGTGTTTACAGTCTGCACAAGTGGAGAACACAAGTGTTATTTTTTACTTTAAAGCTGAAGATATATTTTTTTTATTCTAATTTTTATTAGTACATATGATCATTGATAATATATGGATAATGGATCTCTACATACAGTTAACTTCCCTTTATGGTGGCCCATTGGAGTTACTATTTGTTGTTGATAACATTGAAGATCCAACTTATCATGCAGTATCTGGATTACTCCTAGAATTTAAGGTATGTTCAGTATTTGTAACAAAATCATTTTACTTATTTCAAATTTTTCTTACTCTTTTTTGTATTTTTGTTCTTTCTATATTTACATGTGTGCAGGATGATGTTGATGCTAGGATAATCATAGTTGGTCCATCCATAACACGTAAACATCTGCTATTTGGGTATCTGACTATATGTTGATGTTCCAAGCACACAACCTCCATGACAATATGATGGATAATTTATAGTTAATGCTACCAAAGCAGATGCAGAGTGACTGCCTACCCTGACATTATGATTGTTTATCATTTGTATTTAACATCTAAATTAATAAAAGGTTTCCTGTTTCCGAAACTGTCCCACATACTAACACTAATTAACACTACACCCGCAACGCGGGATCCTTCCATAGCTATTATTATTTTGGAAATTATATGTTGGATAGGCTTAGAATCAGGCTAGCCTATATGGTAGCCCAGGTTGTATTTTGTATTATTGCATCTTAACGAGAAGATTGATTCGTTAGAAAATTATGAAATTATACGATATCAGAGCATATTATTATTTTCTTGAAATCCTAGCTATCAGCGCCTCTATCACCGTCGTTCTTCACCCCTTTTGATTTTCTCTTCTTTTCTTCTTCTATTTCGGAGTTCATTCTTTTCATGGCCAGCAATATCAATCCCATCGAGTATCTTTATGAATATGTGAACATAAAATCTTGTGTTCCAATTCGAATTGACCTCGACAAGCTTAACTATGATGCACAATGTGAGTTATTTACTACTCATTGCATTGGCTATGGTGTTCATGACCATCTCCTCTTCTTTTCTTCTTCTATTTATGTGCTCGCTCTCTTCATGGCCAGCAATACCAACCCAATCGAAAAACCTTATGAATTTGTGAACATAAAATCTAGTTTTCTGATTCGTCTTGACCTCGACAAGCTTAACTATGATGCATGGCATGAGTTATTTGCTACTCAATGCATCGGCTATGGTGTTTAATACCATATTGGCATGACCAAAGACAATTCGGATGATGCAAAATGGAGCCAAATTAATGCAGTGGTGAAAACATGGCTCTATGGCACCCTGTCGGAATCTTTTCTTCAAATGGTATTGAAGAAAAACCTTATAGTCAGTTTAAGTGTGGACGAGTCTCGAGTCTCTTTTTCGTGCCAACAAAGATGTCAGCCATTCAACTTGTAACATCCCGAAACTTCCATGTTTAATATTTGAGAAATTCATATTCCTTAGCAGAGCAACTCCACGAGTTGGATGCCTAACTCGGCAAGTGAAGTCGTTTTGGCCGCGTGGGTTTAGTGACCAACTCGGTGAGTTAGAGCTGTTTGGAGAAACCCTAATTTTTTGGGTTTGTGTCCTATTAAAGGGCCTTAGTCCATCATTTTCTCCTCCCTTATCTCCATAAAGCCCTTTGAGAAACCCTAGATCGGTTCCGTCCATTATAAGAGAGAAAAAGACTAATTTGGGTGTTCTGGTGTAACTTTGGAAGAAGATTTGGAGAGCATCTTGGCTTGGACCAGGGAGGGATGTTTGGATCCAGAGATTCTTCAGTGGTTAGCTTATGTTGGAGGTAAAAGATGCTAACTTGATCATTCTTTATGAAGATCTTGGTTTGGGGGAGTTTTTAGGGTTTTCTCCCATCCACCTTGTGTTATTGAGTCCCTTGAGCATATCTTGAGGTTGAAACCTCAGATCTAGACTGTAGGAGGTCTTGTGATCCCAAATAACCAAGCTTTATGGAGCTAGAGGCAAGCTTTTGAGCACCAAACCCTTGTAAGAGCTTGTATTAGCATTATTGAGACAATATGTCATACATGAACATAAAGCTATAAAATTTACGTGATATTCGAGATTTAAGAGGTCAGATCCAGAGTATGGAGAAGCATTTCTGCCTTAAATCATCTGAATGGGAATTTGACTTAAGGGACTCGACGAGTCGATGAGCCGACTTGACGAGTCGGTTAGGGTTTATCCCGACGAGTCTGAGCATGTTGTAACTCGGCGAGTTGATGAGGCTTCTGAGGAAACGAGGGGACTCGACAATTTGCTTTGATGCACTCAACGAGTTGGGTCAACATGGACTGTTGACTCGAGTTTGACTTATGTTGACTTTTAGGGTTTTGACCAAATATGATTAATGGAGGCCATGGAGGGGTAGAATGGTCTTTTACCCTTCCCAAGAGTTAGAGAGGGGCTAGTATGATTTTATTCAGAGTTGTGATTTTAATTAGAGATAATTATCATATGTGTTAGGTGGAGGCTAGATCGGTGATTCGTGTACGAGGTGTATTTGCTTGCTTGCTTTGAGGCGAGTCTTCTCACTATACTTACCATGAGTGGTATCTTTGTGTGACCGGAGGGTCCTATGTGCTTACTTGAGTTATATTATATTATGCATTTTGTCTGTGTGATATATATGATATATTCTGTGTTTACTTAGATTGGACTGGAGGGTCCAAACCGAGTTGTGGGACCGGAGGGTCTTCACTGATATACTGGAATGGAGGGTCGAAACCGAGCTGTGAGGCCGGAAGGTCCTCGTTATGACACATAACCGGAGGGTCCACACTGAGACACATGAGACCGGTGTGGTATTTTGGGGATCTCACTAAGCTTCGTGCTTACCGTGTTGTGTGATGATTGTATACATGAGAGAAAGAGTTATGTTTTGAGGATCCTATATTTTTAATCAACATTTATGGAGCTGTGTTTTGATAATTAATACTTGCGAGTTTTGTGAAATATGTTATGAGAATTATGTGATTTTAAAATGAAAATTTTATTTGAAAATTTACGGTGTTACAAGTTGGTATCAGAGACTTGGTTTGAGGGATTCGGATGTACATTCGGGTATGTCTAGACTCAAATTGAGGATTTAAGAAAAAATTTCAAAAGAAATTATTTTTCTAAATGAGTAAGAGTATCTAAGAGAAGAACGAGAAGGAACAGTGTGTATAATCAACCAGAGCTCGAACGGTGATTTCCCAAAATACCCTTAATTGTTTACTTTATGAGATATTTATGAGATGTTTATGAGATATTAGGGATGCATGCTAGAGGATAGGCTAGGTATTTAGAGTTGCATGATTTGTGATGTCTTAGCCTAGGGGATGCTATTGCTCGATGTTATCTGTTATTTGCCTTGAGTATGTGCTGAGTAGGAGCAGCTAGCAGGAATCTTTTAGAGAGAGCTTTCAGTAGGTGAGTAACCTAGGAGATATACCTAGATGAACATTTGAGGAGTCTACTGAGAGAGTAGTTAGATACCACAAGATGTGGGATTGGCTGAGTTCGGTGATACCTTTTGAGCTGTAGATAGAGCAAGTAGAGTTGTATGCTAGAGTGATACCACAAGAGGTGGGATTGGCTGAGTTTGGTGATACCTTTTGAGCTGTGGTTAGCTGAAATTGACACTTTGGTCCACAAAAAATAGACACTTTGGTCCAAAAAAAATAGTACTAGCACCAGAGGTCCAAAATTTTCATTTTGTTGCGAGTTTGGTCTGATTTTCTTTGAACTTTTTTGTAAAGACGATTTTGCCCTTGTTTTTTTTGCTTTTTTTAGGTTTTTATTTATTTAACTATTTTTCTGATTAAAAGATAAATTTAAAAAAATTATAAATGCCAAATCTCTCTCTCTCTCTCTCCTTTTAAAGAAAATATCTCATCTGGTTATCTTTCCAATCTCGTTTTCATTTGGGTTTTCCTAAATCATAACTCAATGGAATCATTTGTGAGTTTTTTTTTTCCAGGGTAACTTAAGAATCGGATACTTAAACTCGAATCAAAAACTAAAATTATGTGTGTTTGTGTTTCTGGAAACAATTTAAGAGTGTGTGTGCATGTTCTCAGTTTCTGGAAATCGATTATTGGGTGTTCATCCCTCATCTTCATCTGGAAATCAATTTTGATCTAGAGACGATTTCAGAGATAGGGGAGGTACTGACCGCTTTCTTTGTGAAGTCTTGCTCGTAGACATATTTCAGGTGAGACGCCACCTCTATCACCATCTCTCTTACAGATCTGATAATAGGGATGTGGTTAGACGAATGAAAAGATTGAAGAGAAATAAGAAGATCGAAGGTCAGCCATCTAAACAAATACGTCATCGTCTACACCTTACCTCCGACGCCATTGTTAGGGATTCATAAACTTGCACTAGGATAATGGTGGTGATAGGGTTTCAGATCTTGAAACCAAAATGAAACCCTAATCTAAACTCGTTCTTACAGATCTTGAAACGAGAAGGAGACGGTGTTAGGGTTTCAGGAAACGAGAATGGCGACAGGAAGAGAAGAGAGATGTAGACAGATGAAGGGGTAGTGGGGGTGTTCTTCGTCTCCTAAAGGATTCAGTTTGGAATCTTCTTCTGCAGCAACTGAGCTAGAGATCGTCTTCATGAAGTGGTTGTTAAAACTTCTCTAGCTTCCTCGGTCTTCACAACTCCCTAGATGAGATGATTAAAAGTGATCTTGAAGTGGCATACACTAGAAATGGGAAATCATATGGATGTCTTGATCATTTGATTGGTTCCTAACAGTTTAAAACATGATTTCATTTCATTGTTCAATTTATGATTTAAACCAGAAGCTCAACATAAATCAGTTATTGAGAATTTGATTTTTTTTAGAATAAACTAAACAGATCAGGTGAAGAAGAATAAAAGAAGAGAGAGAGAGAGATTTGACTTTGTTAATTTATTTTAATTTATTTTTTAATCAGAAAAATATTTAAATAAATAAATAACTAAAAAAAAGCAGAAAGCAAGAGAAAAATCGTGTTTATAAAAAGTTCAAAGCAAATCGGATCAAATTCGCAACAAATTGAAAGTTTGGACCTCTGGTGCTAGTCCAAACTTTTTTGGACAAAAGTGATACTTTTCAGCTAACCATAGGGACCATTTGTGCAATTTTGTCTAAATAATATAGTTTTATATACAAGGTAACTTATGTTCATAAATAAACTGGTCATATAACTATGAATAAAAATAAATGTATACACTTAATTTAAGTTACAAAACTATTCTATATTCATAATTAATAAGCAAAAAAATATATAATTGTGTGAAACTTTACTAAAAATTTGTAATGAAAATAAATTTTATCTTACAGTGTAGTTTACATTTCTTAAAGATAATTTTATCATTTTATAATAGTTTTTGTTTTAGATCAACTCAATTATTTGATTTAATCAAAACTCTATTTTAAATTAAATTCCACGATATCATATTTTGTAAGGACAATCCGGGCCCGCAAAAATACAAAGGGCCCCATATTTTTTTCCCAAAATCCCCAAATACCAAAGAGCCTCATAATTTTTTTCCTCCCCAATTTTTTTTCTTGTTATATTGAGCTATATAATAATAGCCCATTCTTTTTAATCCTAATGGACTGGCCCAATAGTCTAATATTGATCACGTCCCAAAGCCTAGCGGTGATGAGTTGTCAATTTCCTGTTTTCAAGGCTCATAAACACTATCCAAATCGATTTCTATGAATCGAGATATTCTATTGGTTTATGAATCCAAATATGTGTAATTTTAAAGCTTCTTGAAATTTCTTATTTTGTTGAATCTGATTTTGCGATTCTGAATTTTGATTACGAATTCCGATTTCTTACACTATGAAATTTGTTTTTTTATCAAATCTTATTCTGTCATTCTAAAATTCGATTTCTTTAATGATGATTATGTTGTATTCCGATGTCTTCCGCTGTCATTCTAAATTTCACATTTTTTATTATGATGTATTGAGCTTTTTCAACTAAATTCCGCAGAGGTTGTAAACAACCAACAACAACAAGAATAGGTTTTTGTCCCGTAATTTTGCTTGGTTTGCATTTGTTGAAAATTGCCATGTCTTCAAAACGTGCACCAACATGGGGAATCGATGGATAATCTTTGGTGTTACTAGATTTGTTGTTGTATATTAATCGATGTACCTTGTTAATTCATGTTTTGTCCCCCAAAGTTTAGTTGTTTTG